CTGGCGTTGCCCGCCCGACCCGCCGCCCGCTCCGCTCTGAGCAGCTGGTTGAGGCGCAGGGTAAGCCAGAGGCCGGGCTTCACGTACCTCGGCAAGGAGGGACAGGACGAGCGGCAGCAGGGGGGGGGGCGGGGGGGGGGGGAATCAGCAGGACGGGGGAAGCCAGCGGAGAGGGAGAAGGACGAGAAGGAGCAGGAGGAGGAACCGTGGTACGGGGAGCAGAGAGCGGAAGAGGAGAAGGAGGAGAGAATGAGGAGGAGGAGGAGGAGGAGGAGGAAGAAAGGGAGCATGAGGAGGAGCTCGAGTGTGCTGAAGTGATTTTTGTATCCTCTGGGATCTGGACTCTGGGCCCTGAACGGCCTCGCGCTCCACGTGGCCCTGGAAGGGCCCCAGGGGGGTGGGGGGGAGGGGGCAGGCGAGCAGACGAGCGGGATCCCCGACAGATCCAGCGGGCCCACGGATCTCGCGGGGCGGGGCCCCCGCTTCGGGCGTCGACCCTGTGAGAAACCACCGGTCTGGACTCGCAAGGGGGGAGCGAAATCGCTTAGGAAACATCCGACAACGGCGGCCCGAGCAGCAGCCAGCGCCAGGCACGCATAAGCGTCCTCGGGGGGCCCTCCCCAGAACAGCCGCTGCAATGCAAGCGCCACTCGTGCGTGCTGCCGTCCCTGTCGGATCGTACGAAACGACAGCCCCTCTGTCCACCCGACCCAAGTAACACGACGATCATTTTCTCCCCCCTGCAACGACAACGCAGCTTACACATAGAAGCGGGAGGTACCAGAGCTTGCTCAATAAACATGCAACCAGGGAGCCAGATATGTGAAACCGAAAACGCGGCAACTTGGCAGGCCGAGAAGGAGAAGGACGCGGAGGAGAAGAAAGAGCGCAGACGAAAGAGCTGGCAGCGTGGTTGCCAGAACTAGCTGTCACGCCCCGCAGTTTCCTCAAAACCCTGACAGGGCCAGGGGTAAGAATAGAAGTAAGTAGGCGACAAGAGAACGAGGACCGCCGCGGAGGAGCACAGCCACTGGGCATGAGGCCCGGATAATGTTGTTCTGCGTGCATCCCCTATGGTCCAACCGACCACGCGTATAATAAGGCATCACACAAGCCAGCCAAAGACAACAAGCACAGTAACAAGAGAATCCCAGCCATGCGGATAGACACGGATACAGGAAAAAGGCCATTATTCTGAGGGGCCAGGGCGGATAGAATTCCGATCGCAACATGTTGAACGCATGCACTCGCCAGCCAGAGCTTGCGCAAGCAGCACGATGATTTGGTCCACTCGGCGGTTGCGCAGTAAAACGAGCGCGTGCTCAACTTTCGCAAACTTGACCTCTGACTGCCACGCTCGCACGATTTCCTGGACGCGCCCCGAAGATCGCGCCCTGGACAGGACCAAGACCTCGGGGTGACAGATGTTTACGGGCCGTGTTTCGGACCCTGGGACAAGATCAAACCGGCCACCAAAAAATAGTCTTTTCGAAGCCGGACGTCGCGCGTTGGAGAGGGAAGACGAGTGAGACGAATGATGGTGCCGAGAGACAAGCGAAGGTACCAGGGGTAGGAGGGGCATTGAAGATTGACGAGTGGGGACAGGCGAGAGAAAGGGCAGAGGAAGGAGGGGGAGTTCAGGAGGGAGGGGCAGTCAGGACAGAGACGAAAACGCAAACTACTCCAAAACCAGCTGCAAAAGCGAAACGCGGAAACCAGATCGGCATATTCCTCGTGAGGCGATCGAAGAGGCACCGCTCTGACCCCAGCCAGACTTTGCTCAGAACCAGTCCCCAGACCCTGCCGGGCACCATGCTGACCCATCTTCCGAGCTGCGACCACCTGTGGCGACGAGGGGGGCGCCGCGGGCCCAAAATCCTTTTTGAGTCAGCGGGCGCCAGCGAGTCGAAGCTGGTGCAGGCGCTGGTCGGCCAGACGGGGCACGCCAGAAACGAATTAGAGGTACAGAGTGGAGGCGGACGCGGGAAAGGCGAAAGGTCCAAAATACATATAGCATGATGGAAGCGGGTCCTGCACCCTGCGGCGCTCCCCAGCAATACCCTTGTCGTCCTCAGGCGCGCTTTGGCCGGTCCTGGGGCCCAAGGAGAGCTCCGGGAGCCAGGACCCTTCTGCTCCACGACCCTCTTCCCTGCGACGAAACGACGACGACGACGAGGAGGCGGACCCAGCATTCCGTGTTTTTTTCAAGATGGAAGGCCCGACGCTCGGAACCACTTCCCGGGGACCGGTTTCTTGTTTTGTCCTGGAGCGTTTGTGGGCGGTCCTGGGGCCTGGCGAGGGCCCCCAGGCGCCGAGAACGCCGAAAGACCTCCGCCTCAATTGTGTCTCAGTGCATCGGAGGCCTGGGGAGGCAGGGGGGCACCCCATCTTGGCTCCGAGGCCCTCCAGCCAGTACGCCGAGTCAGAATAGATGACGTGGGCCGTCTCTAGCGAGCAGGCCGCCGCCTCGTCGGAGCCTCCGTGCAGGGGCCCAGGGAGACACAAACGAATTCGCACAAAATCCCAGATGTCCAATATTCTTCCATCTTTCCTGGACTTCCCTCTTCCACTCCCATTCCCATTTTCTCCCATCCTTCCACGAGAATCCACGATTATGTGCGTTTGTGCCAAGTTTCTCCTACTGACTCCGAGGGAACCACTCGCGCACTCTCGGGCGGGGTGGGCGCGCGCTCGCAGGCGGGCGGTGCGGCTGCTCGGGGCCTGGCCGCCGCGCGCCCCTGGGCAACCCAGACCTACATCTCCGACGAGACCACTCTTGCAACCAGCGGCTTTTCTGCGATGGCGGCCCTTCGTGCCCCGCGAGCGGCTACACGCAAGAAGCGACCCTGGGCAAGAGTGACCCTTGGTGCGCAGCCTCAGGGGGCCACTGGGGTGCCAAATCTGAGCGAGCAAGCCAATGCTGGGGTGGCCCCTGTGGGTCCGCACTCAAGGTCAATCCAGCGAAAGGACACCATTACGCGCGACCGAGCCATGACCGTAAATAGACGGATCCAGGACGTTTCACCAAACCAGGGAAGCCGTCGAGGCCTCTGGGGCCGTGGACCGCCAAAAAGCATGCCGGGGGTTGTCAGGGGACCCCTCGCGCCGCGAGAAAAACGCACAACGGAAGGCTTAACCGGCACCTCTCTGCGCCCAGAGCCCCTTCCAGACCCGCGCACCGTCGAGAACGGCCAGGCCTGAGATGCGAGGAGGGGGGTTATCCATATCCACCGCCTGGGAATTGACGTCCTGGTGCCCCAGCGGGTGGTGGATGTGGGCATATTTGGGCCCCCCGGATGCCAGCCTGTGGAGGCCCGCGATAATCGAGCCCCCAGGCGGTGGTTGTGGACAAATCCCCGCCTCGGGTGAGAGGTCTCGAGGCTACTCCTCTCCAGGAGAGCCCAGAATCGAATCGACAAGTCGGATCGGCGATCGAAAGAGATCGGATCGGTGGAAATTGGCAGCTGGGGCGGGAGAAGTCGAATCGGCGGAAATCGGCACGCTGGCAGGGCCTCCCTCGAGCAGTCGGAGCCCCTCTGGCCCTGCCTCTCCCTCTGCCCAGCCCCGTCTGGCTCTGCCTGGCCCATGCCCGTCCGCCCCTGCCGCCCCCCCCCACACACCCGCCCCCTCTCTCGGCGCCCCGGCGGCCGATGCTCCTGCGGCTGGGACCGCCAGGCCCTCTCGCGGAGGAAGGGGCCCACGCTCTGAGAGTGGCTCGGCGCGGTGATCCCCAGAGGCGCCTCTCTTTCTCTCGAGTTTCTTGTCCACGAGTGTCTGACAGGAGCGAGCCTGAGTGTGAGATTGAGTGCGGCTCACTGGGCACAACTGGGTCTGGAGGTAAGTGAGTCTGTGTATGACTGAATCTTCCCTGGCGGCTCTCGTCTCGGATGCCCAAGTGCCGTGCCTGCTACGTCGCTGCGACCATGCGCTCTCAAAAGAGGAAGAGCTGAGGGCACCAACATCAGCGTTTCGCCCGATACATCACCAAAATCTGGCCGCGAACGGGCCCGTGAACCCCCCCTGGAGGCTCCGCTTGGCAAGGCCCAAATGCCACGCCTGCTACATCGCGGTGATTGTAGCCCTCTTGACAAAAAAGAAAAAAAAACATCTAGAGCAGTCCCCACAATCTAGCCGCGAACGGGCCCGTGAAACATCCCTGGCCGACTCTTCTTCGGGTGGTCCGACTGGCATGCCCGCTTCATTGCGGTGACATTATGGCCTCTGAAAAGAGGCACGATCAGGCCGCGAACGGGAGTTTCAGCTTCCGTGGGCTCTGAGGGGAAAGCCTGGAGGCCGTCGGACCCCCCGACATGTCATGTGGAAATGATTGAAGACCACTGGGGGTGGCCTGTGATGCAATGCCGAAGGGAAATATCGTGGCTCCTGGATGGGACCTGCGGATGTCAGAGCCCTCGACGGACGGAGGTGGGTCCTCGCAGAGGCCTAAGGAGGCTCCAGGAGCTCTCGGAGGGGAAAGGCCGTCAGCGCGTCGGGGGGGGGGGGCGGAGGCGGCTGCGGGCTCCAACTTGCTGGGTTTCGTATGAACCAGAAGGGCGCGGTCGCGCGAAATCACGCGGCCTGGCACGAACAGGCGAACACTTGCAAGGCTGCAGCCTGGACGGGAGCTGCGGCCGAAGAGTTCAAATGGGAAGAAAGCGCCACCCCAATCGCATGCCACAAGGGACGAAAACACGACTCGAATGCCCCACGAAACTTCCTGGGGTGGCGAGTGATGGAAAGCGGATAGGAGAAAGGAAGATTCCGAATTCTAATATTTTTACATGGTTGGGGACCGCCCACACACACACACACACCTCCGAGCGAAGTTGGATCACCCCGGGCGCCCAAGAGACCGCCAAGACGGCCCCAAAGATGTCCAATACGGTTCCAAGACGGCCCAAGAGCGTCCCAAGACGGCCTCAGATGGCTCCACGACAGTTCCAGAGACTCCCAAAACGCCCCCCAAAAAAACCCGAGTAGCTCCAATACAGCCTAAGAGGCCCCCCAAGACGCCCCCAAGAGCCCCAAGAGAACACATTAGCCCCGTTCCTTTTGGAAAGCATAGTTTTAGCCATACTCGCTTTGTTCCAAGGCTCCAGAACGGTTCAAGAGGCCCCCAGATCGCCCCAAAACGAATCCAGAGGCCCCCACAAAGCCCCAGGAGGGCCCCAAGACAGCCCCAGAGAGCCGCACGACGGCCCAAGATAGCCCCAAAACGGCCCAAGAGAGCCCCGACACGGTCCAAGACGTCCCCAAGAGGCTCCCAAGAAAGCCCCAAGAAGCCCCCAGCTGAGCTCCACACGGCCAGAGTCCCCCGAGACAACCCACAAAAGCGCCAAAACGGTCCAAAAGGGCAGCAAGACGGTCCAGAAGGGCCTCTAAGAAAAATAGGAAGCGCCCAACAACAGGGACTCGCCTCCCACTCCGTTCGCGCTGCCACCTTCTGTGCCCACGACTGCTCCAGAAACAGGACCCCACGGGGTCGGCGGATTCGGACCCATTAGTTCGACCACATACACATGCGATAGGTTCAATGATTCTCGTGGGGGGGTGTCTAGATGTCCTGTCAAACGGATGGCGCTGCATCCATCCATTGCACAAACTCGCGTATGTATGATGTTAGACTTGGTCATCCCACAACTGGTGTTGTCTGAAGCTTCAACCTAAAGATGGCATTCCGCTCTTCACTTGCAACTTGCCATGCCTACGTGGTTTCTTTCGGACAATGAAACATTTCGCACCTTGCAAAGCACACATTGGAAGCCGGCGCTCAGGGCTGCGCCCATGGAAGCGCCGATGGATCAAGAATCGCGCTCTCGCCCTACTCGAGTAACCTCTTGAATTATCTCAGTACCCACTGTGGGAGCCTTGGGGGTCCTCTTCCGTCTTTCTTAGGACTCCCGTGGTATCCTTGAGGACGCTCTCGGGGCCATATCGGATACTCTCAGGGCTCTTCGAAGTCTTTTGTGAAGATGATCCAGTTTTACGTGGAGCCATCTTCGGTTATCCTGGAGCCATCCTTCTTGCATGTCGGGCTCACTGCCGCAGGGGTGGCGCTGCTCTCTGATAGCAACAACAACGACAACAGCATCAACCACAACAACAACAACAACCAAAACAACAACAACGACAACAACAACAACAACCACAACAACAACAATCACAACAATGACAACAACAACAACAACAACAACAACAACAACAACAACAACAGCAACAACATTCATGTTACCCTCATGCGTGATGTTCCCACACGGAGCATGCGACCGTCATGATAACTATCCACGTAATGGGGGACTCGTGTTCTATAGCGGGGTCCTTTCTTCCCATTCCCAGATCTCCCGCCCAATGAGGTCTTGCAAACACCTCCTCCGAGGAATTTCAACATGTCCCCGCCTCGAAGACACATGCCCGCGCCTTGCTGCGCCGATGCGAGACCGCCAGTGGAACCCCAGCGAAGGGTAAAGCACAAGGAAGTATCGAACGACAGGATTGCCTTGGTGGGGATGGGGGCTGTCGGCGGTGAGGCAAGGACCTGGCCCTGAGTAAAAAGGGCGGAAGTCTCGAGCAGGGCTGCTGTTGTTGTTGGGAGCGGCGCCAATGCTGAAGAGAGTAGGGCGCTAGCCCAGAGTAAAACAAAACGAAGTCTCGAGCGGGAACGCTGGTTTTGTTGGGACGGCGGCTTTCGGCGGCGAGGAGGAACACCGCTTTGAGTGAGAAAGGCGGAAGCATCGAGCGGGAGCCGTGGTTTTGTCGGGACGGGGGCTGTCGGCGGCGAGGAACAGAACACCGCTTGAGTAAGAAGGGAGGAAGCATCGAGCGGGAGCCGTGGTTTTGTTGGGACGGGGGTTGTCGGCGGCGAGGCACAGCACCGTCTTCAGGAAAAAGAAGGGAAATCTGGAGCGGGAGCGTTGTTCTTGCTGGGAACGGCGCCAATTCAAAAGAGAGTTGGGCGCCAGTCCACCGTAAAACGGAAGGAAGTCTCGGGCGGGCGCGCTGGTTTTGTCGGGGCGGCGGTTTTCGGCGGCGAGGAGGAGCACCGCATTGAGTTAAAAAGGGAGGAAACCTCGAGCGGGAGCGTCATTCTTGCTGGGGGCGGCGCCGATGAGAGAAAGACTAGCGCGCCAGTCCAAAGTAAAACGGGAGGACGTCTCGAGCGGGAGCGCTGGTTTTGTTAGGACGGCGGCCTCCGGCGGCGAGCAAGAACACCAGCCCTGAGTAAAAAAGGAGGAAGTCTCCGGGAGCGTTGTTGTTGTTGGGGGGGCTGGTTTTGGCGGTCCCCCAAACCGCTCGAGCGTGAGCCTCATTTTCAATGAAAATGTAGACGTCGCCTCGGCGAGAGCGCCAGAGCGCCTTTAAGGTGTCAAAAAAAAACTGGTTAGTAGTTAACATGCAACAACAACAACAGCAACAACAGCAACAGCAACAACAGCAGCAACAGCAGCAACAGCAACAGCAACAGCAACAGCAACAGCAA